AGGCAAAATCTTAGCAATTGTTTCAAAATAACAGAATTTAAGTTGAATAGAGGACTTTGTAGGTAGTTGTACTGCCTGCACTGAATACGACCTGATACCAAACAGAAGTGATTCCTTCTCAATTGTAAATATAAATCCAATATAAGTTTGCAAATGAAAATACTAATTCAAATATAAAATTAGTTAAGTGAGTTTTAAACTTTAGCAATCAGTCCCATTTGAGATATAGTAAAATATAACCACAACCAGAGAAAACAACGTTTGAGTTTGAAAACTACCCCTCTCCCCTATGTATGTATCAGTACAGTAAAGTTTTTGGAAACAAATTTTTGCATTTATGAAAAAATCATATTTTTCTTGACAATGTTTGGATTTTTTTTTAAAAAAATCAGGTTAAAAATAAATACACGTGGTATCTTAAACCTCTTCCTCTCCTTCCGTGATGTCTCATGATTCTTTGTCAAATCCTCTCTCCCCCTAAAAGCCTCACGCCTCACCAGTTAGAAGGTGAAGATTTAACAATTCATGGTCATTTTGTAGTTTTTTGAAAATTATATTTTACTTTTTCTTGCATGTTATGTATTTACTTTTACCTATATATTGCATATTTTACTTTAACTTGCCAATTGCATCGATTAGTGTAAGAGGGAAATTCTATTATATAGGTACATTATTACTATATTGATATTGTATCTTAGTTCAATTTTAATTACGTCTTTGCATAAGCGTGCCCGGAAAACTATTTTTACTCTAAAGTATAATTAATCTATATATTTAAATTAAAACGATATCAATTCTGCTTGACATCAGGTTTCACACAACGCGGGACTTGAAATCAAAACCTTATGGTTGCAAGGTCATAATTAGTATAGACGATTTCAGAAAATATGTAACATTGAAACATAAAACCCAATCATATAGCAAACGCGTCAAAAGTATCGACATATCATACCTATGTGACATTAATTATCAATAGCAATAAATATGTTAACTTCCCGAAGGAAAAAGTTATATTTTTGCGAAAAAATCCGATTTCGTAATTTTATGTTTTCTTGACGTTTCCAGTTTTCCAAATGTGGTCTCATCCGATTCAGAATGACTTAATATGTCGAGAAAACATTAGCAAATTGAATTTATTTATGACAACACACTTTTCCTTCGGGAAGTTAATAATATATTTATTAACCTTCGGAAAATCAACTAATATATTTATTATTTTTTTAAGAATAGCTTAAAGAATTATATGTAATTTGATTGCCATTTGTTAATAAAAAATATTTTAACTCTTAACTGACATATAAAAATAGATAAATATATATTTTTTTTTTTGACTCGTTTTATTTAGCAATCAGAAATACATAAAGATTTCTATGAGCTAAAATGATAATGTAAGAGCGATTCCTAAGAAGAGCTCCAATGAGATCTTCTCAGTTTAACAATTACTATAATAATATTATATCAGACCTAATCTAAGACTAAGTCTAAGGCCATTGTCGTTTCAATCTTCTTGTAAAATATAAAATTGAATGCCATCTTTTGTAAAACAAAATAGTAATAGTAACAATTGTCACAGGTGACAATACCAACAACACTTGTTTTAAATGATTTTGCTAATGTTGTTACACTTTGCGCGTGCATTACCGCCCTAGAGATTACCACTTTATAAGGTGTCAAAATGGCGAAGTAAACAGACCATTCTAGTATTATTTTAAGCATTAGCATCATTTTTGTCTGGTATGTGCTACAAATATCGAAAATTTTGAATTGAATAATAAATATTGTGTGTGAAATAAATAACATTGTGAATTTAAAAACAAATATCATAAATTAAATAAAAATTAATTTCTTGCGAAGACTTGCTTGTGGTCGTGTAATAATTTTATCAAGTTATTTTCATGAAGTTCATTTTTAAGTGCAGATTAATATAATTTAGAAAAGCATTTGAACAAAATGTGAACATTACTTCCAATAATTTTTGAATAGTATGAAAGTGTTTGTGTGACTATGAAAAATCTGTATATTAATTTATTAGGACTTCATGTGGTGATGCGTTTACCGGGTTATTTTATGTATTATATTAGTGTCGTCGGTGTCAAACTTTAATAGTGTGCAAACAAATTATGGTGTTTTGGGGTAAGTGCTAGTTTATTATCATGTGTACTTTTCAAAGTCGTGAAAAAATTTGTGAAAATAAATTAGACAGTGCTAATTTCATCTTCAATAGTTCACTAAATGCATAATATTAACATACCTTCAACAGCAAGTGCATTCCATCAAACAATGAACTCCCAAAAAGAATCGGATTTTATTATTTTATCAACTGGATATAAAAAAAAATTGTCGAATTAAATCATTTATTTGCAATTAATGTAATTACTATTTATTAATTAATAAAACATAAATAAAATCGTAAAATAAATTCTAAATTCACAATTTCAATTAGCACTATGCCATGAAAAATCAGTCAATGAAACACAACAATATAGTCTTTACAGAAGTTTATCTAAATATTTAAACGTCGTTTTTTTTTAGTTTAACGGTGGTCTATAGATGTAAATAAAAATTGATAGAACTAATTAGGATCAAATTGTCGATTTAGAGATTTGATTAATTATAATACTCGTTTATTTCACGATATTAGTACAGGTAGATGGTATTCTATTATCAAAGTCAATTTGCATAATTAGAATATATAATTTGTTTAATAACAATTAACTTAATTGAATGATATTAACTATTGCAATGTGTTTTTGAATTAGCGTTAAGATAGTAATAAAATAATTTAATAACTAATTAAGAAGAAAAATGTTGACAAATCTCAGAAACGGTTACTTGCGTTGGTGCTCAGCTTTCTGTGTATGGACACATAATTGGACAAAAAGTTATTGGATTGATTTTCTTGGTTTTTATTTCGAAATCGTTTTGAGTGTTTGTGCCTTAAAGGAAAATTTCTATTTTTACGCACATAAAACATTTTGATTATATGTATAGGTCAACAGTCAACCTTCTTATAACATGATATCTTGAAAACGCGGTTTCTACACTACGCAGTGCTGAATTTACGACCGCCCTCTTATAACACGGTCTAGTTCAGCTTTTGTTCCACTTTTTTATTTTTAAATTTTATATGAAATCAATTCAATAAAATTAATTTCTATTTTTATCAAATATTTATATAAACTTTTCAATTCAATAAAAACTTATGCGATGCAAATTGTTTGTTTTGTACAAATGCTGTTTTTTTTTGTTTATTTCCGCGGTTGTATATTACACCCTACGCACTTACCGCGTTATAGGAGAGTTGACTTCGCTAAATTATTAGCATCTGAATCATAAGCTATCGGAGAAATATTTATTTCTTCTTCATTATTTTTAAATATTAATTGAACCAGTGAAAAGAGTTAGTTTTTTTTTTATTTATTTTGTGAAATAATTTTGATATTAATCTGAAATAGAAAATTATACGAATATAAAAGTAATATATGAAAATATTCTATAAACAATTGTAATTTTTTTTTAAAGATTTTATTGTCCCATTTTACAAGTTTTTTAAATATGCTAGAAAAATATTTTATTGCCTAATATAGATAAAAATTACATTTCTATTTATAATGTAACTGTCATATTTATACTATCCATAAAATTTATTTGTCATAATTCTTTAAAATTTCGTATAACAAGCGTAAAATAATAAAAATGGGATTTACCTAATTGCATCTTCTCATTATTTATACGAATATGCAAAATATGACATAATGACATTAAACTTTGGTGTTGTTTATATATAAGATCTATTGCATAACAATATCAAGACTTACACTTTTCAATAGTTTTAATAAACTAAAATATAGATGAGGAGGCTCATAGAGGGAATGCGCTTATAAAATATTAGTAAGGGTATAATCTCGAAATAAAATTATATGAATAAAACTGCTGCATATTTTAAATACAATTTGTAAAGTTAAATATCTTTTAAGACAAAATTATTGTTAAAATTCTTTAAAACTCTAGAAGCAGTCTATAATATTTTATAGTCGCATTTTCGCTCAGCGCCTCCTCTAATAATACTTTTAAAAATAGTTTACTTATAAACTTAATATCAGGAATGTCTGCAATAACAACGAATGTATACGGAATCATTTTTTTTCAAATATTATACAAAAGGAATTCGTTATATTTTTTATTTACAAATTGTCTTTTATATATTTTCTTCTAAGCAACAATAGTTTACAATATAATATTTACATCTTCAAACTTTTAATTACTTTATAAATATACGAAATTATATTGTATATAAACTTGCGTAAATTTCAGAATTTTCATTAAAATATACACTTTATTTACATTTTAAATATATATTGGAAGGTAATTAAAGCATTGTTTATATCCATAGAAAATATATGTAATATTTGCAATCAATAAATCTATGTGCCGGCCAACATTGTGCATTGCAATAAAAACCAGTATTATTGCTTTTTTACATAATCAATATTCATATATGTACAAATTCAATTGAGTGTTTTAGTTGATTTAAATATAGGACTGGCATTTTAGATCTGAATTGAGTATTATATATAATAAATGTTTTTGGTTACATAGTTAATAAATATGAAAATCAATTATTCTAAACAATTTGCGGCTAAACTACTAATATTTTTTAAAAACAACTAATGAATTATATTAAAACATGCCGCATTTAATGATAATCTGTACATCATTTTGAAATACGTTAGAACGAAAATCTTAAATTCATACCATATTTCTAAACGACTATTCTCTTGCACATATAAATCTAAAATTTCAAGGCGGTCAATATTTACATATACTTAACATACCATACATTGAGTTTCTTATTATCACCATTATTTATTTTATAATCACAAAACGATTATCAAAAATGGAAGATTTATGGACGAGTAAGTCTTAAGAACACTTACTGACAATGAGTGTTTTATACTACTATATTCTGTATAAAATTTCATTATTTAAATCATAAAAAATCAATTGCTATAACACGTTTTTCTAACACCAGCCAAAATCACGCTAAAGTCATCATCGCCCTTTAAGGCTTGAACATCAGCCTGGGCTACAAATTCGCCAGCATATTGATTCATGACAGGTGGCAACATATCCATCTTCAGAGGTGTACTGGGTACAATAATTTGACCGTTTGGTAATACAGGGTCGTAATACATTCTATCGGTTCCATAGTAAGAACCTGCGTTTGAATGGAATCCATCATTAACCGTGTGATATTCTGTTGTCAGTTCTGGGCCTGGATAGTACGGATCTGAATGATATGTTGGCGGTTGCACTATTTCCTGATAATTGTGGTTGCTGTCGGCTACATTTTGAGATACACCATACTTAAGATATTTGTCAAATTCCCTTGCGTCGACTTCACTATCCGGTGAGTCGTTAGATTCTGGATACACAGTAGCGTATTGTGGACATTGTTTTTCTGATTCGTACCCATTGCTCAAGACATGCTGAGCCTGGGGAGCTTGAGACTGATGTGTTGGATAACTTGAGAAATAATCGTATTCAGCTGTTGATTGAATTGAAGGCATTGTCATTATAGCCTGAGTGTTTGTTCCTAGATGTTGATGATCCTGAGAAGTTGCTACCGGTGGAAAAAATGTTCCAGTTACTACTGGTCCTTGGTCCAACAAACCTCTATTTGTGCACATTACATACATGCCGTTTGCTACACCCATCGCAGCTATTGTTGATCCTGAAGCATTTGGATATGTTACAGAACTTCTATAAGATTTCTGGAACTGTCTTTGTTTATCGTCATTATATTGACAGGTGGTAACCGCGTTTTCTTTTTCATGCTCCATTGGAGACATTTCAGGCGTTGGTAAAGCGTCTTCGGGTTGTTTCTTCTCCATTAATTTCTCGTCTTTATTAGACCTGGAGGTAGGCTCAGGAGACTGAGTGGGAGATGATTCTGGCGTATGTAGAATATTTCCATAGCCCTTACTTGTCGGATAACCAGTGTATCCGTTACTTAAATAACCCTGATGATACGGAGACATGTACTGGTTAGAGAGGGGACTGTTTACGCTCAACCTTGTTGAATAGTCATAGTCTAAGCCTGGACTAGAGTAACCCAAACCTGGTGACATATCACCAGGATTGTTATTATTTGGAACATATCCACCTGGACTGTGCAACCGGAATCGTTGCTGGTCTGAGGCCATTTGATGATCAGGTGTTTGTGGCGTTTGAGGAACCGATCCTGGGGCCGTGCGACCTTTAGCGTGTTTGCGACGGCGTGGACGGTACTTGTAGTTTGGATGTTCTGTCATGTGGATGACGCGCAGACGTTCCGCTTCCTCAACGTAAGGCCTCCGATCAGTCGGAGTTAGAGAGCGCCATTTCTTACCTGAAAGATAAAAGACAAAATTGAATAAGACTAAACAAATGTTTGCTCATTTATTCACAACTAATTTAATGACATCATATTTTTCCTAAGCATTTATTGTTTATTTGCGACTACAATTAAAATGTAAGTGGTATGAAATTTTAATTCGGAGAAAAAATAATTTATAAATTAACTCAAAAAAAAAAAAATTAGGCTGAAATATATATTAACAAACAGCCTATATAAAATAGTCACAAGTACGATAATATGTAGTCCAATTATACTTATATACACTTAAATGTACACATATGTTGAAACTTTGACTATAATTTGGACTATTTATAATACTGGATATTATTTCCATTTTGATTACAAAACTTCACCTTCTGAACGAATGTTCATAAATATTTTTTTTTTTTTTTTTTTTTTTAATTTCAATAATTATTACAACTGCTAATTTATTAACATCAAGTAATATTGATTGAGTAATAATATAAATTTAAATAAATAAAAGAGCAAAGGATAAAATTTACATGAAAATAATATCCGTAATATGATTTAATGTAAAATATAAGCAAATAATAATAAAAATAAGATTAATAAATAATATAAATAAAATTTCAGAATAATAAAATAATACTAGAAAAATAATAAAATATAACAAAATAACAATAATAGAAATAGTAAGATAATAATAATAATAATAATAATAATAATAAAATAATAATAGTAATAATAACAATAATAATAATAATAATTTACAAATTTATAAGATCGTTTGGAATTTTTCGTTTTAGTCTTGTTGGGCGCGCTTCTGAGTATACTTTGTTGGCCAAGTAATTTGGGTGCTCGTCTATTCTTTTTTTGTAATTGCTTGTTTTTTGTAGAATTTCTTCATTGACTGTCAATAAGTTGCTGTCCTGGTGAATCAGCCAGTTGGGAGCGTACCTAGGTGCGTTCAATGCCTGCCTTAGGATCTTGTTCTGCACTCGCTGGATAATCTGTAGATTGGTTTTTTTGGCGGTGCCCCATAGTTGAATCCCATAAGACCACACTGGTTTAAAAATACATTTATAAATAATTAACTTGTTATTTGTCGATAGTTCGGAACGTTTATTTAGTAGCCAGTAATGTTTTTTGAATAGTTCATCAATCTGCTGTTTTTTCTTGTTAATGTGAACTCTCCAGTTTAATTTTGTGTCTAGGTGTATTCCCAGATATTTTACGCTATCTTTTACTGGGATTTCCTGTCCATTTAACTTAATTGTAGGGCATATACCAGTACGCAGCGTGAAAGTGATATGCGTAGATTTTGATCCGTTTGTCATAATTCTCCATAAAGAAAGCCATTTTGTAGCAATATCTAGATGTTCTTGTAATAGTTGCGAAGCTATTGCGGGATCTTTATTGGAGGCAATGATACATGTATCGTCAGCAAATGTCGACACGCTTGTTCCGGAGTATAAAGAAAAATCCGCTGTGTATATAAGAAATAGAGTTGGAGAAAGGACGCTTCCCTGGGGCACCCCAGAAAGGATCTTTCTTCTGGTCGACTCCTCGTTGTTAATGTTGACGAAAAATTCCCTATTTTCAAGGAACGATTTTATTATTGAAAATATCGGTTCTGATAAACAGAGTTTTAGTTTGTACAACAAACCAGTGTGCCATACTTTGTCAAATGCTTGCGCAACGTCTAAAAACACAGCCGAACAATATTTTTTTGCATGGAACGATTCGTTAATTATATTTACTAGGCGATGTACCTGTTCTATGGTTGAGTGTTGTTCTCTAAAGCCGAATTGGTGATTTGGAATTAGGTTTTGATTCAACAATTCTGACTTAATGCGGTGGAGTAATAATTTTTCAAATATCTTCGAAACACAAGGAAGTAGGCTTATTGGTCTATAGGAAGACAATAAATGAGGATCTTTCCCAGGTTTAGGTATAAGAATTATTTTAGCTATTTTCCAAGCTTGAGGGAACACTTTTAATCTAAGAATTGAATTGAAAATTATTGTTAATAATCTAAATCCCTTTTCTGGCAGTTCTTTTATCATTTTTATCGTAATTTTATCTGGTCCAGGAGATTTATTAGGATTTGCAGCCTTGACATAATTTTTCAATTCGGTCACCGTTATGCGTTTTACTATTTGGCCTGGTATAGATACATTCTGTAGACAATTGTGAATAAAATCTTCATCATTTACGTTGCAACTGCGGGGATGAGGCTGGAATGTATTTTGCAAGTGTTCTTGCCCAGGAACCATCAAGTTTACGCACTGGAGGTATATGTACTATCGGCCTTTTTAATCTCTTCGTTGCCTTCCAAAGAGAATAATTTGTGTCTTTAGTGGATGAAAGATTAGTTAAACAATATTTAGAAATTTAATCTTTAAGTAAAATGAAGCTTTAAGTAAAAAGAACTGACATAAATATCTGGTTTTTGGTGTACGTGGATGCTATAAGTATTTGAAAATTATTTATTATTATTTTTTTGCTTTATTTATTCTTTTTTTTCTTTTTTTGATAAATTTTACTCAATAGGATTTTTGAATCGGATACGTAACTAGTTATCAATAATTTGTTGTATTTTCATATAAAAAAAATAGTTTACTACTCTATCCAACTCCGGTCTCTTCAAGTAATCAATTCAAACGCGCATCTTGACTTGAAGAGTTTATTTTGAGGATGATATTCCTATGTTTTTGTATTATTATTTGTAATTATTTCTATCAAAATCAATAAACCTATGCCACTACTAGATATTTCGATCAATGTTATTGCAATAATCACGTGTTTGGTTGAATTTTGATCAATTTTTCATTTTTTTCACCTTTGGGAGAAACGATGTACTTGTACAATGACATGGTACTATTTCGAAAGTATCACAGGGTTAAAAAAATTAAAACTTATCAAAGTTAATCCACTGGTAAAAAATACTTGCATTTGTTGCAAATCCCTTTTTTGTTATGACTTCTACAAAAATTAATTACATGTATGACTTAAAAAATCAACTACCAAAAAAAATCAATTTATTTGTGAACTGCCTTCTTGAACTGCGTTTCAGTATGATCTTAATCTGTATATTATTTTCTTTGTTACTATATGGACAAAATGGTTTTTGTAATTAGTTGCATTTTTTTAAATAAATATGCTATTATAGTTCCTACCTTATTAAAAAAAAAAACTATGTTAGTGACAATCAATGAACCACATATGACTAAAAACGATTGAGCCTAGTTATAATATCAGCAAAAATAGTCTATCCAACTATAAATAAATATCATTACAAAATAGAAAACAATGTAATTTTGTCTGTATTTCCTCTACATTTATCACATATCTTTCAAAGTACTAATTTAGATCAAAGTATTGCTGATAATTTCAAAATCCGTTCGACTAATTGAGGTCGTGATCGGTTTGAGTAGCTCTGGTATCTCAAACAAATTAGAAATGACATAACCCGGCCGAGTTCGCGCTATCGACGTGTCTTGAAAAATTGTTGTTATTTAAGTCTGACAGGTGACCGCGTGATTAATGATTGCTGCGCGATCGTTTGATTTCATCCAAAATCTATTTCAAGTAACGCCCGTTAATATGTTTGTACGATCAGTTTTATTGTTATCCTAGAGAGCGACCGCGGCGGGAGGTCCTTGCCGCGCCACGTGCACTCTCGTGGACATTATTCATTAGAGAATTGCTTTTCTAACACCTTCGGCATATGATAAAATAAGTGAAATTCAAATGGGTATAAAAAATATTAAGATCGAAATGATGAATAGTCAATATTCACTATATGTATATTTTAATATTTTAAAAATCGTTTTATGCATTTATGAGTTCAACACTTCGACTCGTCATTGTAATAGACCTGCATAAATAGGTTCGTCCAGTTTATAACTAAAATTTCTGAAAATAATATGATTCACATTAGCGGATCACATAGGTACATATTGACTTAGAGCAATTATATTGTGAAAACCAAACCAAACCAAACCAAACCAAACCAATTATATTTCAACAAATAACCATATCAAACAACTATCTGACTACGTTCAGTAGAAGTCTCCTGCTAATACATCATTGTAGAATTGTGTTATTTTTACTGTTTTTCAAAATTTTGTCACCTGGTCCTTTTTACTCTATAGGCGCAGAAAATATTTTGCAGAGTTTTACAAAATAAGAGCTACATTTCGTGGGTACATTTTAAGCAGACATAACACTGTATATAACCTTGATCTGGTATTTTGTCAGAAATGTTTATCAACAGAGTTGGAAGAGTTATTAATTTAATTCAACTCTTGTAAAATGTTTTTTCCTAACTTTTTTTACTTTTTTATTTACTATGATATTTTGTATTGTTCACACCTTTGCCAGGGTTATGGATCAGTTGATCTTCTTTACCCTACGATGGTCCTCTTTACTTTACGTGTAACTTTTTATAGATGTTATATAAAAATACATCTTTTGAAACAATTAGATAACGTATACTTAAAATTTATATTAACCCTTACGGGACGGCACCGATTTCAAAACAATCTACTGTGCCGGCTGTAAACTTGATTTTATTGTGTATGTTATGCAATTTGTTTGATAAAAAATTGTGGTCATTAAAGGTCATACTTTTAGGTCAATTTATTTTTTATCATTCTGACATGTTTCTCAATAAAATCATGTTGGCCGCCTTCCTTCTGGTGCTTTTCTGTCAGAACAGAGTACACAATTTTTTTTTCTTGCCTCGAGAACGACGTAGGTGGATGGCTATATTTAAAAAAGACTAGAAAGCTAAAAATACTTCTAAAATAACTAATAATTATTTTCAAAATACAACACTGTTTGTAACTGCTATTTGAAATCTATTCAACGTTTCAATGCAAACTGAGTCATTTTTTATAAAATAGCCTGTGTCTCACTGGATAGCCTGACAAAGTATCAGGTGGACGGCTGTCCCCAAAGAGTTAAGGTTCAGTAGACTAAACAACAGTGCTCATAACCAAAACATTAGACTAAGAATCAAATCA